CGGGTTAGCTTGCGGGTTGACCCCGCCCGCGCCCAACCCTATATAATGAGCCACTATTAATGGGATGGAGACAACACTTCACCATAAAGATGAAATCATTCAGATGCATTATTTTGCTATTACATTGACAGAGAAGTTCATCTACCACTGTTGATCACCACATCAGAACATGATGGAGGTTTTGAGTTAAGCCTTAAAGTTTATTAGACATGGATATATATATAGCTACAGTATAGGCTTGATGTATTAGTAACTTCTGCTAGTTAGTAAATTTCTTGGCATCTTTCCTCGATTTTTCAAAAAAGAAGAAAAAAAAAATACAGGCTTCGTCTCTCATTTAGACTTGATTGATATTCATCTGAAAATGTGTATAATTTTAGCTAATGTGCATAGTCATGTTAAACTCTATGGTTAGGATTGGATGTCAAAAATTTTGGTTCGAGTAAAATCTCATACTAGAGCTCATTCTGGCAACAACAGTAGGAAACTAATAAAATCTTTGCTGAAGCTAGAAAATGTTATTTGAATCCATCGACATGTAATCCATGCATGAATTCTCTAAAAGCTGAAGTACTATTTTATCTGAATAACGCCTAATAGATACAAGGGGGAAGGTCCTATTTGTTTCTCCGACAAGAACTGAGGCAATAATTAAGAGGGATTGTTCTTTAGACTTTAGTGTTTGGGGGATGAGAATGATTAGCATTATTGAAATTCTTCGGTTCATGGGAGGAATAACACAGGAGAACATGACTAGTCAATATCGACCAGAGAATGAAAAGCAATAGAACAGCACAGTGTAAAAGAGAGCGATACATTGTACCTTTGAGCACCTCCCATGGGTGCAGCGCACATGAGTCCATGTGTCAATATTACAATTTCAAAATCATTATCCATGTTGAAGACAGGCTCTGTGGGATGCTATGCCAACAGAATAGATTCAAACCCTCGTTTAGAAGGAAAAAAAAAAGATTTTTATCACAAAGATTGCAAAATAGATTAATGAAGGCCTACATGCGCTATGTCAAGGCATACACTAAATGAGGATCTACAGAATGAGAGAAATAATGAAGGTAAGATTGTAACTTATTGATAGTGCAGATGCCCAGCAGTCCGACTAAAAAAACTTAGGCAGTATGCTAAACTTTAATCAGGTTGTCCAAGTGCACCAATATTCAAACACGTATTAATAACAAAATATCAAGTACTCAGCAACATTTAGAACAGAATCTCCCAAAGAATAAAGCAAAGATCTGTCACTAGACGCACTTCGTTACTCAAAACCAATGTCATATATCAAAAATTATAAAAGGGACAGAAGCTTTAGATATTATTCAAAAAAAAATATACATTGATACGGCAAATTATCTATACAGCAGCAAATATATATTGTTACTATATAAAAATAAATAAATACAAGTATCACATAATAAGCCAACGATCTTCAATAAATACATTGAAGAATGGCAACTACTATACAGCGGCTAGTACTATATCTTTACACAGAATAAATTACAGGGCCTACTAAACATGGAACCTAATGCACGAAAACTGAAATGCCACATAAATGTTTCTCTCTAGCCAACCCAAATATTTGGCCACCGATCATCATGTAAATATCTACACGTATCCAGCCAATCAATTTCGACCGCATCAATCATGTGCCGAGAAGAGATTGACAGCGATGCTATCGATCTCAAAATTTATTCGTGACCTTGGCATCCTGCGTGGAATTGGTGCGTTTGGGACATCTCTACTGTCTCCAAAATCATCAACTCCTGAGTCATCATCTTTCCTGAAGACAGGCTTTGTTCGCGGAGTAGTGTAAGCAAAATGAAAATTTCTTGCGGTCAGAGCCTGTAACAGAGAGAAAACAGCGTAAGTAGGCATATAACCATGAGCATCCGGTAATTGGGCTCAACAAAAAGCCTTGTACAGATGAGATTACCGCTTCATTGACACATTTCGAGACTAGGAGTAGTTGCTTTAGATCCTCGTGGGTCACTTTACATAATATTCGAACCTACATCAAACAAAACACAAGTTTAATAATAGCCTAAACAAAGATAATTTGTAGCACATAGAATGAACTGAAACGAAAACGCAAATTACCAGTAGATCCTGAGGCAAGGATTCGAGGCGATTCAATTCCCCAGATTGAACCCTTCGACCCCTTCGTTTTGGCAAAGGAGTACTGAATGGAGAAGACAAATTGGAAATTGCCTCCGTTTTGTTCAACACAAGGATCCTTTTCCTCCCTAGGATGCGTGTGCTAGTTACAAGCTCGATTGGCTTTTGGTGATCTGATCCATTACATTGAAATACCTTCAACGCCATTTTCTTGAAAAATTTCCAGTTGTTAGAAAATTTTCAGCTTTAGAGTAAAAACCTTAGTTTTCTCTGCAACAGATAAAAAAAACCCAAGATAAATATTAGCCATGAGCTGAAAATAAAATAAAAATGAAAGAAACCCAAATGCCAAAATGTAACCTCTTTGAATTCAACAAATCTTTGCAATGTTTCAATTTTATACAGGAATCTAAGGAAAAAAACATTCAAATACATTTACAAATTAATTATTGGAGAAATAAGCGCAGGTTACATTACGAAGCATTAAAGTTTTCCAATAAATCACAACAAGATTCTCCATTAAAATCACCAAAAGTGTAGATAAAGACCCAATTAGCTTAAGCAACCCTAAGACCACAAAAATTGAGTTAATGGACCAGGAAAAAGATCATATTTTTATCACATAAGTGGGTTTCCAGGAAGCTTCAATAATCTTTCAAAAAGCAAATGCGAGTAAAGAAAGCATCAACAGTCCAACAATCTCTTTACAAGTTAACCCCAATTGAAAAAGAAATGATAACCCAATTGAAGAATGAATCAACGTACCAAATAGAGATCCCAATCGAAGAAGAACAAAAATCTAATCTTGCGCACCTGAGAACTGCTTCAGTTTTCACCCAATGTCCCCAACCAAACCGACCTAGAACTATATTTATAGAGGTCAAAAGTAAAGAGGATACTGGCGATGAAGTGCCGTAAATATCAAATGGGAAAAAGAATATTTAATTCCTTGTCCTTTCCTGGAAAGTCCCAGAATGCCCTTCACGTTTCCATTAAAATTTAAATTTTTACACAGAAATTGGTCATGTAGGATACAGTACTAGCAAATCTTAACTGCTTTAATATTTTCCCTCTCAGTAGATTAAATTTAAATTTAAACTTAAAATATGGGGTCATTCTTGGAAAGTCCTAGAATGCCCCACCTTCAACTTCTAAAAAGAAAAGGACGTGATATCTGTGTGTTTGGACTGCGTCGAATTTTTCGGTTTCGCGCTCATTGCGCAAGAACCGCGTTTCACAGCTAAGCTTGAGCTTGTACCTCTCCACGCCAGCATAGGGCGCCGCCTTGCTCTACGAGTCAATTCCCAGTCCACGCGTGTGGAGGGACACGTGGCGTGACAATAGGAAGTAACCGTTGGCAGCGGATCGGATGCGTGTCAGTTTAAGGGTGGTCGCTAGACGTGGATCCTAGGAAGTAACCGTTGGCAGCGGATCGGATGCGTGTCAGTTTAAGGGTGGTCGCTAGACGTGGATCCGATACGTGCTAACGTGGCGATTTTGTCGGCGGGTCGGTGATGTCGGTTACTTAAGGAGCACAGATAACTCGGTGTGATTAAAATATTTAGTTTCATCTTTCTTAAAGCATGCACTGAACTTGGCCTGTATTATGTGATGTGCCCCATGAAAAAATTGTTATTGTTATAAGATTAATTTTGAGTTAGATTATTGAGAAGACACCGATATCGTATCATAACTTTATTTTGTCATCCAGTTAGGGGTTGTTTAGCAATTTAAAATATGTAATTTACTTGTTTTTTTACAAATAACGTTTACATCTATGTTAGCATGTAAGTAAAAATACAATGTTTATTTGGAAAAATTAAATTAATGTTAAATGTGCAATGTGATGATAACGTGACAAAATAAGATTAATAAGAAAATATAATTAAAATTATTTAATCAACATTAGTTACTTTTTTTGCTACTTTCATGCGATTTTACCACTATTTTATGAAAAGACAAAAGTACATTAAATCTTATGTGATAACTTTTTGCATTTCACTTTATAATCATTTGCATGCAAACAAATACCTAAATTGTTAAACGAAAGTGGTTTTCTTACTTTTATTTTTCACCTGCAGGCGCAAACGCACGCCCCCCTTATACTTTTTGTACGTTAGGAGTATAATTGTTTTGTTGCACGACAATTTTATTAAAAAAATGCAGCTGGAGCTTCATCTTGAGTCCATCGTGCCCCCCCCCACCCCACCCCCCCACACACACAACACATCATTTTGTCTTGGGTAAATTGGACATAACTCCCCTCATCTATATTTTGAGTTGCAAATCTCTCTTAACTTATTTATTAACACTTAGTGCTATCCAAATATTTTTTTTTTAGAAAGATACCTTGCAACTAATGTCCCACTTTCTCATGAATTGAGGGAGGTTTATTACTAATAAATAAATGAGTAGAAGGGATTTAGCAATTTTTTAGAAAGATAAATTGTAAATAACATCCCTCATTCTTATGAATTGAAGGAGCTAATTGTTAATAAATGAGTTGAGGGGGTTTAGCTTAACTCAAAGTAACAGACCAGAGGGGATATGTTCGATTCACCTTTATTTTTTTCACTTTACTTTTGCTGATAACGTGGGAAAGATATCAGGAGATGAATGGATTCGTTTGACATCATGATACTCCGTACGTTGGGAAAAAAAAAGTTACTTATCTTGACTGCGTAAGGGATGAGACAATGATAAAGCCCAATTAGAATAATCTGGCACAAAATAAATTGCAAGTGAAGTTTAAAACTTAGGGCACGTTTGGTTATCTCTTTTAGAGGGAGGAAATTGATTAAAAGCCTGTCAAAAGTGTCAGTTTTGATAGACTTTATTATAAAAACGTCTTTAAAATAGACGTTTTTGCAAAATCCTTTTGAAGGCATGAGCTCCAAATCATCCCTCGACCTCATGGAATTTTTAATCTTCCTTGGTCATTTATTCTGTTTTCAAAGAAAAGGACTATATGCCATCTAGGATTTTTACTATTCAAATCGTGGTTCTCAAAATACAGTTGTCAATTTAGTAATAAATTTCTAATTAATTGTATCCTAGAATATTTCTGAAAGCTTAGAAAAAAAATAGAAAAATAAGTACTCTCCAACTAGCTAGGTATCGAATAAACAACTATTCAATTTGCAAGTTTAATTTCTAAAGTAATATATAATTAAATCTTGTACCAGCAAATAAATCATAAAAAATGAAAGAAACATATTTATGTAAACTACAGTATTCTGAAAATCACTATATGGAATTAAGGTTTTAGAAATTGCCAATTAAGTTTTTAGAATGTTTTATTTTTATCATAAATAAAAATATAACTATGTAAACAATGGTATTCTGAAAACCACTGTATGGATATTGGAAATCCTAAATGGCATAATCCTTTCTCTTAAAATTAGAATAAATGATCAAGGGGTATTGGAGTCCTCTTCAATTAGAGAAAGGATCCTCTGAGAACACCCCGCACGATGCAGAGTGTTGCGGACCGTTCAGATGCAAAATAGGGGGCATTGTTGGTATTTCACCGCACCCATTAAAGGTTCAGAACACCCCGTGTAGGATCTTTAGTCCTCCAATTACCACCTAATTAGAGAAGATTCGGATCCATAAAGATATCTCAATAAGAATATCAGTTTATGATGTATTTTGATTTAACAACGTTATACTAAAAATGAATAATAACTGTCTAAATACTTACATGTTCAATTATGACTGAGAAAATCAAGAAGATCAAAATTTGTAAACAAACCCACAATGAGAGTGCCAATCCAATGAGAGTTCCAATCCTGTACTATATATTTAAGGGGAAAACCCCCATTTTTGATTTCTCCATGCATCTGTCAAATTTTCAGAAATTTTGTAAATGCTCTCACAATGAAAAATCAAAGTAATTAATGTTCTCTCATTTGCCAAATAAACAAATGAATAATAACAAAAGAAAAAATAAAAATAAAAACAAAAACGAAAAATGCCTTACATAGAAAATTCAACTTAAGTGCGGTGCCTTTGCAAAATTAATGAAATTGTCCTAACATTTGGAAAGGCGCTCATATTTTCTGTGATATGAACACGCGGCTTGCACCAACGTACTTAAGCATGTTTTGGCAAAATACTTATATTTACTTATAAGGTGCCAAGATCATATTTGGTAAGTGTTTATCTATTATTTTTCTTAACTTATAAGTAAATAAAAAAGTTGGGATTCTCCGGCTTATTTTTTGCCCACTTATAAGTCTTACTTATTGATGTAAAAGATTATCACGCCCTCTAATAAATAAGTAAAAATAAGTTTTTTAAAGCAAAATCAAGGGATAGATCCCTATTCATTTTATTAATCATAAGAAAAAGATACAAGATAGTATTTATTGTTTGAGTAAAGAAATCTGGATTTTCCTAATTATGATAACAAGAGACTTTTCCCATAAATGCATCAATGAAGATGAAGAGATTACTGTAGCTATTATTCACCGCAAAAGCTGATACATCTATGAGCCAAAGCTAGCCTTTAGTTCATGGGTAGTAAAATATCAGAGCTCTATAATCAACCAGAAAAAAAATATCAAATAAGAGAAAATATAGTCATAAACAAAATGACCAAAGCCTTTTTAGAGTTGAAAAATTATCTTGCTAGCTACTTATGCTTCATTTTGACTTCCAGCAACCCCTAGGGCTTCAGCAGCCCTCCTTGAAGTTTCAGAATCTCCTAGAGCTTCAGCTGTAACCTTGATGGTAGTAGCTCTTGGAAGTAGGGGTGGAAATGAACCAAATAATTAACAAATAGTTCGATAATTGTTCGAATAAGTATTCGTTCATATTCGATTCGGTAGTTCATTTACCACTAAACAAATATTTTTTTGTATTCGAGTTTACTAACGAATAGAATTTAACCAGGTGTATATTCGTTCGTTTGTCTGTTAAATATTCGTTTAAATTTTGATCATAACTTATTACTTGTATTATTGCACATATGGTGTCATATTTTTAACCAACATACCATTTCTACTTAAGTTTTATATACTGATTTTAAGACTTAAATAATCTTAAATATGTTTTCTAATTAAAATTTTGATTTAAATATATATATATATATATATATATATATCATATATTATAAAGGAATAAATTTTATTTATGAATTCTAATACTATTTGAAAATAGAATTCTTTAGCGGAATAAATATACTTTGAAATTCGATAAGTATTCGTGAATATTCATGAATATTTATCAAATACCAAGTAGTTGAGTTTTTTTGCTGACTTATGATCCTTTACTTGACGAAAATCTTCACACCATTTTTTTGGAGATTTGAACTGATAAGATCTCTGAGATTTATATCACTTCCTTACACCTCGTTGGGATGGAGGTTAATGGATGGAAGTTAAATTGAAATTTCAATTTTAACTTGTTTGGGAGTTTTTTTTAGGGGTTAGAGGATGGAATGGAAGGTTAAATTTCATTACATTTTCCTCCCCTCCAATTTGGGGGGTAGATGATGGAATGAAAATTAATATAAAATTTTACAATATGATAAGACAATTATACTCTATGACATTAAAATCAATGGCTAAGATATACTCTAATCTAATATGTAAAGGTATTTATGTAACTTTATACATATTTACTGATTTCCCTTCTCTTTCTTAGAACTCCCAAACAAGCTAAAACAAATTACTTTCGTTCTCCTTACTAAACTCCCAAACAAAGCATTAGAAATCTCCATCAAATCCTCACCTAATTACTTGTTGCCGTAGAATCCGCCTGATTTGAAATTTCCTTCAATGAGTTGTCCCCTCCCTATTGCATAATGAGTTGGCCATATTTTGGGTCCTTAAATCATTTTCTATTCTTTTGCACTTTGGGTCAAATGGACTAGACTAGCCTTCTACTACCACTATTGTTTTGTCTTTCTTCACCACCGCAGCCACCTACTACTGCTCTAATTAATCGACAACCGCTCCGTGTAGAGTCCGACAATCGTTCTCCGCGGGCCTTTAACCCTTCAAATTCTCTTCCATATCTCTAACTAGAGTAAACCCCACCATCAATTAGAGTAATTACAAGCTTCGTCTCCCTTCCAAAACCATCAAGCTTGGAGACATAAGAACATATAATTGATCTTGGAATATCTTTAGGGGATGCAACTTTGACGAGAATTCTAACATCATTTGTCATCTTTTCCAGATCAAAGTTTTTTACAAACATTCTCAACTTCACCAAAAGAGCTAACAATTTTCTCTAAGATAGAATGACACCAAAATTAAAAAGGCAGATTTTTAATCTTTACCCAAGTATAATAGTAACATCAAACAATTTTGACACCCACATTTTCACTCCAAGGAGAAAAAAAAGCCCACAACTCCATTTAGATCAATATGTCCTTCATCAATTGCCACAGAGAGACGAAACAAATTAAGGAAGCAAACGAGATATTGCACGTCATCCATATGCACCACCCTCTCGTTCCACCCAAAATCACGATACTTAATACTGTAAAACTCAACTTTTAACATCTCTAGAGATGTTTCCCCTTCGTAATTGTGAAGACCCCATGCAAAAGAAGATTTTTTTGCATGTTCTGCAATCTTCTCGACCGATGAGAGATCTATCATTTTCTCCTCTGGTCAAAGGTGGGGAAAACCATTCGTTCCTCTTATAACCTTCTTCCCATATTTGAAGCAAATAAAAGCTCCCTTAGAGTACCAATCTGTTGTATGATATTGTTCATCACAACAATAAAAGCATCTTCTAGGTCGCTTAGTGCCATAATCTTCTATTGTGGGGGTGTGGTTGGAGGGAACATCTTCTTCTTTCTCTCCTGCTTTTGTTTAACAACTTTCGTCCGACCCTCTTCTTCAACTCCATTCTCGAGCGGTGGCCCAAACCCTAGTTTCTCTTGAAGAGAGCCAAAAGAGGGGGAAAATTGGGGCTTGCATAGGCGGCTACTTTGATTTAAAAGAGCGCTTTCGGATTGGAGAGGGGTTGGTAGAGGGGCCTACAGATGGATCCTTGAAAAGCCTTTTGATGAAGATTCTCTGCTGTTGATCTCTACCCACTTGACGTCTTGGGGCAGATGGCAGAAAACCCTTACCTTTGGGATCTCTAGCAATTGCTCTTATCTTTGTCACCGCCATTGTATAACCCCCAAGTTTAATAAGTTAAATTAAGTAATAAATAACTTATAAGGAATCATAAAATAAGTATTAGGCAAACATGCCCTTACCTCGTAACATGAATGTATAATATTAGTGCAAAAACCAAGTTAAATAGCCTATTCGGTTACTTGAGGATAGACCCCTTGAACTATCATCCAGTCGTTCATAGACCCTCTATAGTTCTATTGTTGTGGATATATCTCCGTGTGAATTTTTTTGACTCTTTTACCCTTAGATGGTTTATTCGAAAAAAAAACTAAAAAGAGAGAGAGAGAGAGAAAAAAAACTCTCTCTAAGGGCAAAAGAGTCAAAACAATCACTTAGAAGATGTATCTGCAACACTATAAGGGGCCTACCCACTGTCAATGCAAGCCTTTATATCCTTCCCTTGAAAGCAACCTTCATGGATCAGGATGCAAGGAACATATCAATGCAGAATAAAGGACGATTTTCTTTATTGATAACCATGCTTATTTTCCCTACTTTCAGTCAGTTATTCCATATTAAGATCAAAAGCACAAACAACAATAGGTTTGAACATTATGAACTCCTCACACATATACCTAGTAAAATAGCGTAAATGCAAGTCATTGCACAATAAAAAGGGGCTCTCCAAGCTCACTTCAAAAAACTCCTGATCAATTATAGTTCACTTCTAGATCTTTCGAGCTCCACTGGTTCAACAAATTTGCTTTAATTTCTCCATGGGTCAAGAACGATGGAGTGTACGTCTCGATGTCAACCTTCGCCAAGACTTTACAATAGTCCACCAGAAATTTTATCAGCTTGATCTCAATATCAGTCCCTTCAAATCCTTCTACCTTCAGCTCTTTCAGACGAGACTCCAAACAACTTATGGAAGTACTCTTCAATTTCCTTAGTTGCTTTTCTTCAAGATGGACCTTGATTTCCAACACAATAGTAAATTAATAAATCGGTAAATGACGCATAATGTAAGAAAGTAATCCTAAATAATCGAAAGGAATAGCAGCATAAAAGAAATTACATCATCTGATTCACTGGGGTGAACAATGAACAGATGAAGGGACTCCAAATTATCAAAAGCCTTGACTAAACCAAACATTGCTGAGATGGTATCGTTTCTCATCTTCCCAATAATCTTAAATCGCCTAACTGTTGGCATGGTGAAGTTTTTCATTTGACTCTTCGGAATGCTCATATCCTGTGAGAATATCAATAAAGTCAGGGTTGTGCATGTATAAACAACCAAGTGAAAATAAATTTAGCAAAGTATAGGGAAAGTACATTTAGGAATTTACTATACAAACTCAGATCCTTAACATGACTGAGATCCTTGAGAAGATTCACGAGACGGTCAGCCCGATGTCTCACATTACAATTGATGTTGTGGCATAAACCTATTTCAGCTTTAACCAAGGAAGGAACTTGCAAGGAAAGATCTTTCGTTGTATTACTCAACCCAAACTTGAAATATTGAAGTCCTTGTGCATCGATGCTCACTTTCTTCAGGGAGTGGCAACATTCCAACGTCATGCTTAGTAGTTTGGGTGCAGAAAATTCAAGCTTTTTCAATTCAGGAATTAATCTAAGTTCCAAATTCTCAAGCATACAGCAGCTGGAGAGCATTTGGTGGAGCATTTTCTCAGAGATATCAACATCTCTGAGCACAAGACAAATCAGATTCCCAAGAGCCATAGAATCTGCATCGGGTATATTACATTTTGCCAGCTTCAAAACTCGAAGAGATCCAGAGTTGAACAAAGCTGGAAGAATAATAAATCGGGAGTTTTGGGATTCATCATCTGAATCACTACTGCTCGATTCATCGCTTTCCGAGTCTGATTCTTCAGCGGAATCTGATTCATCAGTGTTTGAATCATAATCCCAACGAACTTGATTATCATCAGCACAGTAATAAGCCTGCAACTTGTCACTAACATAGAGAGTGCGATATTGGAGGAAGGAATCTCCACCCGAGAAATCAAGATACATCTCCAGAACATTAAACTTCATTGATATGTGAATCCATTGTCGGATAGGAAAATAAAAGGAAGAGCTGTAATCAAGTGATATCCGCAACAAATTTATGGGTGCGTGTTCACGGAAAAATATTGATGCACTCATGAAGTCGACTAATGCACGATTAGGGTGAGTCATCAAAGCTCCTCCAGTTTTCTGGTCAAAATCCAGAATAGGCATTGAGTGAAATAATTTCCTCCACCTTTTTGAGAGGATGCTCGTCTTGGCTGCATCTCTCACAGGAAGGAAAGAGAGAATATGGTGAATTATGGCATTGCACAATTTGCTGATTTGATCAGACTGTTCATTCTCATCCTTTGTTAAAATCTCACCATCTTCTAATTTGTGTCGGCACTTCCCCGTAACTTTTTCCATTTGGCTGATCAATAATGAGTTGAAAAGGGTAAAACACTGTTAAATACCACTACCAGTCAATACCTTTATATCTTGGTTTGTGTTCTTATGAATTTACTGCACAATATATTGACATTCATCAAGCATACGCGTACAAGTCATGCATATTCTGCATAGCAAAAGCGTAAAGAGTTATATAAACATTATGATCAAGGGAACATGTTAATCCAATTAAGGTGGCACTCATATATGTGATCGTGAATTACATGAGCTACTATCAGAAATGGGGTGTGAACTGATCTTTTTGTGGTTTAAGTAAATCTGAGGTGTGTCATTAGCAGTTGGAACATCAATGCATTTAGAACATCATTTAGAGGTGTTTGGGAGGGCTTTTTTTTGTCAAAGTAGCTTATTAGGTTAGCTTATTCATATCTAACTGTTTGTTACTATCACAAATAAGCTAGCTTTTAAGTCCCATATGAAAAAGTTAGGATTCCCCAACTTATGAACTTATAGGCTCACCAAAATAAGCTAGGTTTGACTAAGTAAATGACTTCTCGACTCATACAATTTTTGTAAGATTTGTTCATAAAAGCCAAAAGCCATCAAAAGCGAAGCTAGCCTAAAGTTTCTAAAAATAAGCCCAGAAGCACCTACTTAGATCATGTTGCAGTATAAAATTACAACTCTCAACCCTCACTGCAACTTTAGACTTTTTGTTTGTGCAGCAGATGGGACCTTTGACATGGTATAAAATTTGTTGTTGAAACACTCTTCAATTCGAACACAGTAACAATTCCCCTGTTGTTAGCCTAATTGCTTTCGCAACAAAATTCAACTAAACACATATGTTAAAATTTGGACATAGTTGAAAAATATGAGATTCCATCTACTTCTATTCAAACACGCGCTAAAGTAAAATGAAGGATGGAGCATGCAAAGATAATTGTAACGTATATATCATATACGTAAATTGAAGACCGACATAGTGGTAAAAATGGTTGAAATTAGATCTGGTTCATATAAAATTCAAACTCTTAACTGAATAACCAGATCAAGGTTGGATCTTAATGTATGCGATTTACCAGTTTAAATCAATTTCCAGAGTGGTAGTCACATTTTATAACATGAAGGTGCTGGCTACAGATTTAAGTGAGGGGTAGAGGAGAGTCAACCCTTCTTAAGTTGCTAAACACGAAAAACCTACACAAGAAATAAAGCGAGTTAGCTCTCCATAATTTGCAAAACACAAAAATTGCAAAAGGATTAAGAATTAACCCCTCTAGAGGAGCTAAATGAGTTAACCGCTCAAATTGAGGGATTTACTAATACTTCTATTCAAGCGGGCTATGAAATAACCCCACTATTTATAAAGAAAGTAGTCACAATCCTCATTATTCTCAAACACCAAAAGCGATCACAAGGATCAAAATAAATCTTACCTGACAGGTTAACAATCTAACCCTTCGGATAACAAATGGGTCTGAAAGTTGCTATGTTAGCCCTTCTCCTTAATCCTCGTTCCTTAAACAGGTTACCAAACGGCTCTGAAAGTTGCTATGTTTACACTGAGTATGAGCTCATATCATTCTACTCTTTTTTTTATTTTTGGGCTATTAACTGTAGTATAGATTGGTTTTCCGAAAGAAAAGTAAATATATGAAGATGTAATATAACTCATTTCCTTTTGAGAAGGTCATATCGGAAAGCAACCAAGAGTGAGAAATATGGGTTTCCACATAGTTAATTTTTCAAAGAGTGAGCCCAAAATTTCAAGTGCTTTTAGGAAATTATCTGTTTCCAGATCCCTTATCTTCTCAATCAGCTCTCTCATATCGAGATAATGAAAAAAAAAAAAACAGATAGATGAAATCACAACCAAATAATAAAAACCCTAAATTCCCCATCATAAACGAAAACTTAATGAAGAAAATTGCTCAGGTTAGCTGCAAAGAGAGTTGGATTAAGAGAGGAATGAGAAAGAACCTTTGATCAAAATTGAAAGGCCAACCCCACTGAAACCGTGCAACTTCGATTCTACCTCCGCGACCGTCCTTTGCCTCAAGTTTCCACCGTGTGGACTTTATTAGTACTCCACCAACACGGCAGAACTCAATATTTTGTATATACCCAAATTGCCCTCCTTTTATTTTACCTCCTTTTACTAAACTTTTTTACATTCATTTATTAACAAAAGCAGAAATTTATTTATTCTTCACTGGAAAGCTCTTACTCTCCTTTGGTGTGCGAGAACGGGTGAAAATAGGATAAAATTTTAATTTTTCATTTATGTTTATCAAACAATATGTATTTTGGAATGTTACAAATATCATTCATATTTTTCATCAATTCCCACTTAACTGAGATTTGCTATTCTCAATGAGTTTTCAAGATATTAACAATTCTCACTTAAAGTGGGACTAAAAAAATAAATTAAAATTTTTAAATATACCATTCTTAAAGATATTCCCACTTAGTTTTTTAATCTCACTTAAACATGAGAACGAAAATTAGCATTCCATTCTCACTTACTCCAATCTTGCGTACCAAAAGCGACATTATAAGTTAAAATACTACATTGCCAATGAAGGTTTAATTAATTATCAACGAAGCCCCTTTTCGGTATGCATGACACATTGGATTCTAGCTTCACTCCATTTGTTAATTGACTACATAGATCAAAATATTATTTTTCAAATAAAAGATTCTTATTTCAATTCTTACCGTCTGTGGGGGAGAATATCTCGAAGAAACCTTTCTGATAATTAAACCGATTATGATAAGAAGAGACAACACTTATTTGAATGCTCAGTACACTGGCCAATTTGGTAGGATATGGTTAACAAAAAAGTTAATACTTAAAAGCAACGGTAGGAGAAAATTAAGAGCCCGTTTGGTTGATTTATTTTGAAGGGGAAAGCTATCACAGATGTCCCATCTGTGACAGTTTTCAGCCGCTTTCCCCCTCAAAAACGGGCAACCAAACGGACCCTAATAGAAGAATGCAATTTTTTTTTGAGAGTATATAATGCAAAGTTTTTATGGCCTTTGAATGAGTTGTTAATCATCTGGATCACATTAGTTATTTGACTTGCTTGGGTACGGGTCAATTAATAGGACTCATACATAAACAAATGGGAGGGGAGCGTGATCATTGTTTAATCATGTCTAGGTCCAATGACTTGACATGCTCGGGGAAGGCCAGAAGATATTACGTTAATTGCAGATAGATCCATTGTACTATCTTCTAATTGCAGAGGCCCCTAGAAGTACAATTGTTGCAGATAGACCCTTTGAATGAATTTTGTTTAGCTCTTAATCTTAGGAGGTCCATTTGCTAAAAAATATTATTCTCTTTCTCGGAGGGCAAAGTAAACAGAAAAAATTCACTCACGGGTCTATTGACAACAATAGAATTAAAGGGGCTTAATGGCTTATGCACAATTGGCTGAAAGTAAAGGGGTCTATCCACAATTAAGCCACCGATAATAACTCAATGGGTTAGAGGGCTGTGTGGACTGAGAATGGATAAGTTTGAAGTTAGATCTTTAAAACTTATGATATTGTCCGTTTTCAATACAACTCCAAAATGTTAGATCTAATAAAGAACTTGAGATCTAAAACCATAAAGCCATGATTAATTCGAAGAGATTAACAAGAATCAATAGAGCGGAAGCTTATACCTGAATCCATAGATGAATCTTGAGATGGGTTTTGGATCTTCTAACCTTAGGGTTTTCTCTAGCCGAATTTCTCTCTAGATGGGGGGTGAAGAGAATTAGAGAATGCAACCCTAGATTAGGGACCATAACCCCTTATTTATAGATGTTGTACATTTGTAATTTGGCCCCTCAACAAATCACAATTACAACCTGGTATCTGCACATATAACCCCATGACTTATTTAAATACCCATTAACCCAAATTAATTGATCACTTTAGTGGGTTATCCTGAAAGATAGCAATACACATTGATTAATCATATGTGCACACAATTAGATTTATTAGATTAAATCCAACAATCTCCCACTTGGGCACCATATGATTCCTTAAATTGTGTATAACCTTATGAGCTCAAAAATTGCTATCACTGAAAAAGTATTTCCAAACAATCTCGTCCATTGACTATATCAATATAGGATCAAAGCGGCCTTCGTCACATTTATCGTGACTCGACCCATCAATGGTCACATATACCAATACAATCAAACGACATAGATCAATAATTGATGTGCAGCATGAAAATTACATGCAATGTGATCAGTACATGTCTATTTTTAACTGGTCCTACTTTAGTGAGGTCAAAACCACACATAATGTAACAAAGTGTCTTAACTGAATACTTTATTATGATCAGACAATACAACCAAACATAAAGCACCACAATTACAAACTCCCACTAAAACATAATATCCTCAAATAATACCACACCCATATGAGCAATATGCTCATGAAAGACTTTGGGTGGCAATCCCTTAGTAAGAAGATCAGCTATCATGGAGTTTGTCCCAATATGCTCTATAGATATTTGTCCACTCTGTACCATTTCTTTCACAACCAGGAACTTAATGTCAATATGTTTTGACTTAGTTGAGCTCATGTTGTTATTAGAATACATTACTGCAGATTTATTGTCACAATATAACCTTAGTGGTCTTTCAATATTTTCCAAAATGCGCAGTCCCGTGACAAAATTTCGCAGCCATATTCCCTGATTGGATGCCTCATAGCAAGCTACAAATTCTGCTGCCATAGTGGAGGAAGCTACTAGTGTATGTTTGATACTTTTCCATGATATAGCTCCTCCTGCTAACATATAAATGTAGCCTGATATAGACTTCCTGCTATCTTGGCATCCAACAAAATCAGAGTCCGAATACCCAATGACCTCTAACTGTTCTGATTTTCTGTATGTGAGCATATAATCTTTTGTTTTCTGAAGATACCTCATAACCCTTTTAACTGTTATCCAATGATCCATACCAAGGTTGCTTAAGTATCTGCCTAACATCCCGACAATGTACGCAATATCCGGACGCGTACATACATGAGCATACATTAGACTTCCTACAGCCGAAGCATAAGGAATCTTCTGCATTTCCTGAATTTCAAGGTTACCTTTAGAGCACTGATTGAGACTAAACTTGTCTCCTTTAGCAACAGGGGTGTCACCTGGTCTGCAATCTTGCATGCCAAACCTTTTAAGTACCTTATCGATATAGCTCTTTTGTGATAATCCAAGAATACCCCGAGAGCGATCTCGATGTATCTGGATCCCTAATATAAAAGAGGCGTCCCCAAGATCTTTCATCTCAAAATTCTTTGATAGAAATCTCTTGGTTTCGTGCAACATGCCTATATCATTAGTGGCAAGCAAGATGTCATCGACATACAGAACCAGAAAAATATACTTACTCCCACTGAACTTGTGATATACACAGTCATCAACAATGTTCATCTCAAAACCGAACGAGATAATTATTTGTTGAAACTTATGATACCATTGACGAGGAGCTTGCTTGAGTCCATAGATAGATTTCCTTAATTTGCAGACCATATTCTTTGGGTCTCCTGACACAAAGTTTTCTGGTTGCACCATAGAGATCATCTCATCAATATCGCCATTGAGAAATACAGTCTTAACATCCATCTGATGTAACTCAAGATCATAATGAGTAATAAGTGCCATGATTGTTCTGAAAGAGTCTTTCGATGAAACCGGAGAGAAAGTCTCTGTATAATCAATGCCTTCCTTTTGAGTATAGCCTTTAGCCACAAGACGTGCCTTATACCTCTCCACATTACCGTTTGTATCCCACTTGGTTTTAAAAATCCATTTACAACCAATTGGTTTTGCACCTTCTGGTAACGGTACAAGTTCCCAAACCTTATTGTCTTGCATAGATTTGTACTCTTCATTCATGGCATCAATCCACTGTTGAGAGTTAGAACTTTTCATGGCCTGAAGGAAGTTGATTGGATCATCTTCCAATATTCCATTACTTTCCTCACATCCGGAATAGCATTTCTCCTTTCTCTCGTGGATCTCCTTAATGGCACTGGTTCTTGAGGTTATTGAGTTTGTTCTTCTGGAACAGGGAGTTGTTCAACATTGTCATCTTGAGGTTCCGGATTTACTTCTTGAGCAACAACAGGTATAGGAACCTGAATATTGTCAAAAGTAACTATATGGATTGGATCTGAAGCCAAATTCCTCCTCAAAACTAATGTCTCTAACCTTATTTCTACCCCAAAACTCAACATCCTCAAAGAATGTTGTTGTTCCCGTCTCAAAAATATTCCTTAGTGTGAGATCATAAAACTTATAGCCCCTAGAGCGTTCAGACTACCCAATAAAGTAGCTGCTAACTGTTTTGGAGTCCAATTTCTTTTCATTTGGCCTATAAGGCCTTGCCTCAGCTGGACATCCCCAAATATGTAAGTACTTTAAACTGGGCTTTCGACTAGTTCAAAGCTCATAAGGTGTTTTAGCAACTGCTTTACTTGGTACTCTATTCAGAATGTAAGCTGTTGTCTTAAGTGCTTCTCCCCAGAGTGACTCTAGTAAAGAAGAATGAGCAATCATACTTCTTACCATATCCTTAAGAGTCCTATTTCGTCTTTCAGCTACACCATTCATGCTAGGTGAACCCGGCATGGTGTACTGTGGGACGATACCGCATTCCTCTAGGTATCTAGCAAATGGTCCTGGACGTTGTTCACCTGAACCATCATATCTACCGTAGTACTCACCACCACGATCAGATCTGACGGTTTTAATTCTTCTGTTGAGTTGATTCTCAACTTCAGCTTTATAGGCTTTGAACATGTCCAGAGACTCAGATTTTTCATGAATAAGATATAGGTGCCCATAACGTGAGTAATCGTCTATGAATGATATAAAATATTGTTGACCATTCCAGGATTCCGTAGGGAATGGCCCACAAATATCCGTATGTATCAATTCTAAGACATCCGAAGATCTGTTGGCACCTAATCTTTTCACTTTGGTCTGTTTTCCCTTGATACATTCAACACATACGTCGAAGTCCGAAAAATCAAGGGAATCCAAA